ATTAGAGAGTATGTTCAGCAGCAGAGTTTCAGGGTGAATGTCCATGTTTTCTTTGATCGCAAAAATATCATCAAAAAATGTCATCAAAAAAAGAAATTGCCCAGTATAATGTGGGCAGTGTAATGTGGAGAGAGCTTATTATGAAGGGTTTGTCATCAAACAGTCCAATCTGGAGGCAGAGAGATGGTTTCTTGAAGCAGCAAGAGATGGTAAACCTACAGGCAGTATAAAGGCTCAAACAGTATCGGGTTTGTTCTACTCCAGACCTGGTGAAGACTCTTTTGACTTACAGAAGGTTGGTTAGCATTTGCTAATTAATGCATGTCAACACTCAACAGCATTATCCTCTTCCAGTCTGTGTCTGGGGTTCATTTAGTAAAACAGAGCCCAATATTTAAAATGGCACATATTTAATAAGTACATACCACTCAAGTTTATAGTCCCTTTTTGCACATGCTGATTGGCTAATTTGGAGGTAAATAGTGAGTAATGTTTACCTCACAGTAGCTGAAGAGGCAAAATCAGGCATTAGGATTTTAATTTCTGACTATTTTTTGGTATAGTGAGAGAAATACACTGACTTTTTTTGTATCTGTATGGTACGCACTAAAAAATTTATTTACCTCAATGTTGGTGAAATTGGTGGATATTACCTCCACTGTGGTGAATAACTGTGAAATATAGTAGAGTGAGAATAGAAAGAGAGAGGCTTTGGGCACTGGTCACTTGACGAACATGAATAGACTCAAACATCCCTTATTTTTCATCCTCCTACAATTTTTGAGTGGTTTACTATTGGGAGTGTCACTGAACCACTGGAAGAGGCAATAGCCACTGCATACAGTAGTCTTTTTTAATATTTTATAAACTCCAGGGGGGAATCTTAGGTTAATCATAACATCTATCCCTATCTTTGTCTTACTGAAACTTTTTTATCTGTAACACATCAGAGTAAACTATAAAATAATGTTCATTTGTTCTCATCATGTTTTTCTTCAGGTTTACTTTTGGCATCAGGAAGCCACAGGTCAAAAGGTACAATATTTAATTAAAATGATCCATGTTTTGCAAAATTACAAGAATTCAGAGTATTTTGTGTGCTTGTGTATGATTTAACACCACTTTCCTGATACCATCAGGTGCATTAGTGCAAAGCGCTAGCGAATGGCAGGAGTCGCACAAGCCAATCAACATCTTTTAACGGTCGATCGCCTTTTGTTACCCGGCTGACCCTGTGTGTCGCCCTGCACAATGTAGAGTAATTCACGAGTTGAGTGATTCCTTTCGTTACTCTAATTTAACTGTCCCTCTTTCAATGATCAGATAGTAGATTTACCACACAATAATTGCGATCAATTAATTGGTTTTTATTTAGGAAAGAAGATTCACAACACGACTGAGTATATATAGGAAATGTCCTTACAAAAGTAACGCTGTGTAACGCACTGCACGCAATACAACAATACGCCTTTTGCGGTTATAGCTTGTCTCACACACTACCACTTAAAATACATAAAACATGGCCCAAAATGACTTCGAGTGATTTCTAAAATGACCCTGAATAACCTAATATGACCTTGAGTGATGTGAACAATGCGGCGTTGACAAAATCTGGATCGGACCGGATCGGATAGGATTGTTCATTTCGGTTTGCTGATTTTACGTGGTTTAGCATTTTGTTTTCGGTTTCCCGGTTTGTCTTCGATCTGAGCGGCAATTAAGCGCCTCCACTGATCTCGAACAGCCGCGAAACACAAATGTTATTGAGAGGAATGCGTGACAAACCTACGGAGCGCTGAGCCATTTCATGCCATCTCATATCTCCCCTTCTTTTTTCACGACCTGAACTATTAGGTCATTTAGAAATCGCTCAAGGTTTTTTTAAGTCGTTTTAGCTCATTCCTTGTTTTAGTAACTACCCGAAAATAACGCTACCATGATGCAACGCAATCATGCGGCGCTAACGTGCACTGCTTCTTGCGCAACGATCTACACGTACAATTTCTGATGTGTTGAGAGAAAGGATCGGTCAGCATTAGATTCCATCCACCAAAACCACCTTGGTCGAGAGGGACTGAGATGGAATGATGGACAACTCATGCACGAAAATTACGAAGCTACGACAACATGCCGACTTATCCCGATGACCTAAGTGTATTATTTGTTTGGGAAATTGCGTCAAAACTTTTTACTAAAGAAATGGTAAGTATTAATTTATTGTTCGATTGTAGTATTATAAAACATTTTACGCAATTTTATGCAGATATTTCACGTATTTAAAAGGTGCCTAGATGTTACGTAGTTTTGGTGGATGTCATTAGGGAACATCCACCAAAACTTTGACCAAAACCATCAACAATATATTTTTTAAATTTTATCTATAGCCACTGTTAGATGTTCAGGGAGACAAAAGATTTATACCACTAATTAGCAGTTAGTGCTCTGGCTAATTATTTTTTATGGTGCACAATTGCTGACCGACCAAACGTTCATAATGATTATCATAAGTCTTAACACATAGAATAAAGTGGTTTTGGTGGATGTTTCTCTCCATCCACCAAAACCACCACAGAAATTTCTGCTACTTCCTTACAGAAGACTGATGTGACCTGCTATTTGGAGTACATAACCACAATCTATTTCTTTGTATGTAGAGATATTTTGGAAAGTTCTTGAATCAGCACCTTTTATTATTGAAACCATAATCATAACATGGTGCATAATATAGCCACAAAAGGTTCTGGTGTGGTAATCATGTAATCTTGAAACAGGAGAGTTTTTAACTGACTTAAACTGATTTAAACAAACATTTGCAACAAAATTCCAGGTCCAGAAATTTCTTCCACTATTTCCACTAAAATCATAACCTTTAAGTACAGCAAATCAGCACATTAGTAATTGTTATCAGGGGTCTGAAAATCCTATAAATCTTTCACATTTATTTCAAGTAACCTTTAATTTCACATGGATGAATAAGTATACACTCAAGATGCAGAATGTCTTACATTTTACAAACTATTTCCCTTTTTATGGATAGACAGTGAAAGGCCTTTGCCACATTGGTGAATCAAACCACTGTATACCATGGATTTTGTGATAATTGTTTGTTTTTGCTCACAATACCCAGAAAAATGGAGGGGATAAATTTAAATAGCAAATTCTATGGTTAAAATTAAATAACATTGGAAGATCAAATTAACTTTGTACTGTTTAAAATTCAGTTTTGGTTTCTTGCTTATTCCAGCCTCTTGATATTCAAAAGCATTCCTTGTCATTTTTGTGTTCTTCTGTGTACATAACTTGAAAAATAAACACAGAGAAAGGAAACCACAAAGGATTAAACTTGAAGCTAAAGCAAAGTTTAAGTTGAGCCATAGCTGATCCAAATACTGAGCACTTTGTATTGTAACCCATTTAGCAGTAAAGGTTATCTATATGTCTGCCAGCTTGTCACAAGTCTTACCCCTCTCCTTCAAAAGTCTCTATAAATAAATTTTTCTTTGTGGTTCCTAATTGATGATAAGTATATTACAGCTCCTCAATTTTCCTCTCTCAAGACAAGGTTACTCTAAATTTAACAAAGTAATGGACTTGATAAAACTCAAACTATAACTCAGCTGGCTGCTACTTGCAACCTTAATTTCTAGATATCAGTATACAATAATCAATATGTTATAAATAAGAACCCTAATGCTTAATTTTGCAGTGATCACCTTCCTCCTTTTCATTTGCAGACCAGACTGGAACCTCTATAGGTGTGTTTGCTTGTTTTGAGTGGGGATGGAAGAAAAGGAGTCATGCCGCATATCTGATTTATTAAATTGGATTTTTTCTGTTTATACATGAGTAGAACTACCTTGTTCTCTGAAAAAAAAAATTTCTCGCATTTTTATCTGTGCTTTGCAGTCAAACTTCCTTGTGTCTTGGACAAGAAATCTTATTTTCTTGAAAACAAAATCTTTGTTTCCAGCCTTCTGTGATAGGTAAATATAACAGTGTAAGATGAGTGACAGTGTAATTCTCAAGTTATTTTTTGGAATTTGACAAAACGGAAGTGTCATAGTGTGATAAGGAGCCAACAGATGATTGCTTGATAGAAAGCAAAAAATGCAGAATTGCATATATTTTCTCCTTTGTCAGCAGCATATGTTAGTGAAAAGTTCTTATAATTGTTAACTTCTAAACCATCTTCAATTTAGTCAAGATTGAACTGTTATCACGTTTGTCATAAAAGTATTCTGAGATCAATGTCATATGACCCATTCATGTATTTGACCTTTTGAATTAGCAAGCCATAGTTGACAGAAACACAAAGGTTGAGGATAAAAAGAAATTATTATATACAGTACTTCTTCTGCATCTTTTCGTTTCTTTTTCTCTCCAGCTGTTCTATCTATGCCGTGCTGGCAATTGAACACTTTCCTTCCCAAAATTAGGAAAGGCACACCAGTAAAAAACGAATTTTTGCTCCTTAAATATCTCATGCATCTTCCCCCAGTATTTTGTGACTTCTGTCCGAGGAAGGAGGTGTAAGCGTTAAATTAATCCGAATGATTCCACAATTGTGGTAGAACTTAAACTAGATAAACTAGTGAGAATGCACAATAGCGATAGCAAAGCTTTGTAATGCCAAAGAGCTATATCAATATATATATATATATATATATACACCGGTGTTCCCAAAACCTTTGACAGCTTTAAAGAAAGAAAACTTCGTCGTCAATCCTGTTTCAAATTCCGCAATAAGTTTATGCGCCTCATCAACAGAATTTACGTATCCTAAATTATCTGCATGTCTACCATCAATGGTTCGCGACTTAAAATTCTCGCTATGCTGTTTCTGTTTGTTCCTCAAGAATCATGGGATTTACAGCTTCGGATGTTCAGCTACATCACTTGCGGATTTCCGAGTATCTTCGGTTATGTTTTGCAAGTCATTAAATATTCCATCCCAGTCCCTCTCGACCGAGGTGGTTTTGGTGGATGGAATCTAATGCTGACCGAAAGGATCGAATGACTCGCGCCGGAAACCGTCCAGCTACGAAATAATCATAAAGAGAATCCGTAAGTCTTGTAACGTTTTGTCTCTGAACAGTTTGGTAAGACATATCTTCACGTTGCCTTGGTTGGGGAACGTCTGCTGTTTCCGTTTTCGGTTTCTGTCGACACTAAAGCTAAGGTAGGCACTCATCCGTGGGCTTATATCCGGAAATCTTGCTTCAAGAATGCGTTACTCGTTTCACTTTCAAAGGAAAAAATATAAATAGTTGTAGTGACTCAACTTGAGTTCTTCGACCAACTTATGAACCGCACAGGTGTCGATAAACATTGAGTAGATTTTTAATTTAAATTTACGTTGCTTTGGTTAGGGAACGTTTACTGATTACGTTTTCACTGAAACTTAGGTAGGCACTTACTGTGGGCTTATCCGGAAATCTTGCCTTAAAGCATACGTTACCTCAGGGGGCTCAAGCTCACGTCTCGACACACAGGACGTGAGTAAGTGTTATTGATTTTACGTGTAAAATATTCATCTTTCGAAATATTTATCGTTGTAAATCGACCATATTTTGTTCCCCATGTGAAGGGGGCAATAACACGTGTTCAAATTTTCAACGGTTCCTCTCGTAACTTAACAGCGAGTCACACAACGCGTGACGCGTTCATGAATTAATCGTTGGCTTTTTCTCGAGACGTGAGCTTGGGCCGCCCATGACGTTATTCGTTTGATGAAATTTCAAAATAGTGAAATATAAATAGTCGTAGTGACTCAACTTGAGTTCTCCGACCTAAATGTGAACCACAAAAATGTCGATAAACATTGATTAGATCTTGAATCTCCTCAATGCCGTAGATATTGTAGAGTCAACAAACGTAGTAATGCTTCTTTGCACTTGAGTGAGTCCAACTACGCATTCAGAACCAATCGAAACTGAGAAAATACAAACATCTAACAGGAGGAAATCGTTACAATGCCGGACTTTCTTTTTGTCTCATGATATGACGACATTTTATAAATAACGTCGCGTGACATTACCGTATTCGTTTTGCATCCCAGAAAAGTTATTAATTCTGTTTGTATTTTGGGTTGTGAACGCATACTATTAAACACCGAGATAAACCCCAAATTCATTTTTTTAGCGTCGAAGTGTTTGTTATCACAAAATATGTTTATTCATCTCATAACTTCAGATTTTATTGTGCTTTAAGTTGAAGCTATGTTTGGAAAATGTGATTTGCACGTCACTAGCAATTATACCTCCTACGTTTTCACGAGCCGTTTATTTTAAAATATTGACCGATCCATCATTTAGTTGGTCACTTGCAGTGTTCAGAGGGAACTGAAATTAGAGACAGATTTTTCTCTATGAGAGTAATGTTAAGCGCGAAGTCAGTTTTGACTCCACTAATGTGAACGAAGACCGATTATTTACGGCAGCTTGTCATATGGCCACGTGAGATCAACTGAATTTACTCAAGACGTAATTTCCTGAATTCCACGGGCCTTACGTCAGTAGTAAGTCTTCCTGTTGATGGAAGTCGTGCTGAATGTGACCCATAACGCTTTTTCTATTTAATGTTTCCCTTTTCCAACTACGCATTCAGAACCAATCGAAACTGAGAAAATACAAACATCTAACAGGAGGAAATCGTTACAATGCCGGACTTTCTTTTTGTCTCATGATATGACGACATTTTATAAATAACGTCGCGTGACATTACCGTATTCGTTTTGCATCCCAGAAAAGTTATTAATTCTGTTTGTATTTTGGGTTGTGAACGCATACTATTAAACACCGAGATAAACCCCAAATTCATTTTTTTAGCGTCGAAGTGTTTGTTATCACAAAATATGTTTATTCATCTCATAACTTCAGATTTTATTGTGCTTTAAGTTGAAGCTATGTTTGGAAAATGTGATTTGCACGTCACTAGCAATTATACCTCCTACGTTTTCACGAGCCGTTTATTTTAAAATATTGACCGATCCATCATTTAGTCGGTCACTTGCAGTGTTCAGAGGGAACTGAAATTAGAGACAGATTTTTCTCTATGAGAGTAATGTTAAGCGCGAAGTCAGTTTTGACTCCACTAATGTGAACGAAGACCGATTATTTACGGCAGCTTGTCATATGGCCACGTGAGATCAACTGAATTTACTCAAGACGTAATTTCCTGAATTCCACGGGCCTTACGTCAGTAGTAAGTCTTCCTGTTGATGGAAGTCGTGCTGAATGTGACCCATAACGCTTTTTCTATTTAATGTTTCCCTTTTAGTTGAATACTATGAGTCACGGTTCCCGTATCGGTTTTGTGGTGTTTGGCTTGGGTCGAGCAGGTATCATCCATTCCACGAACCTCATACGAAACCCACAGGCAACCCTGAAATGGATCGTAGATATTGACGAAGACAAGGCCAAGAAGTTCGTGAAAGAAAATTTCACGGATACACAAGTTATTGCCCCATCCGACATGGACAGAGCGTTACTTGACCCAACCGTGCAGGCTGCAGTGGTAGCCACTCCAACTGACATGCACGAGGATATTGCGATGCGATGTTTACGAGCGGGAAAAGCTGTCTTCTGTGAGAAACCAATTGCTCCTACCTTAGAGGCTATAGGTAAAAAGTTACCAGACCCCCTCCCCTATTAGACCAGTAATTTTTTTCCTTTACTTCATGTCAGACACCAAATTCTTACAACAGTAGAATCGCATGTTGGTAATCAATATTAGGTATGTAAAATTTAAATGTAATGAAACATTTCCTGGCTTATTTAAGCTCGAGAGTAAATGATAAGTTCTGTGTTTTCTGAGTCAAAATTTTAATCCATTCCCCATCAAACGTTCCTGGATACGCTCCTGTCTTCCGTTGATTTTCTTCTTGCTCGTCACATTTGTGTGACTAATTTGTTCCTAAATTTGATTGATTGTTTAATCTATTTATTTCTACGATGTGTCTCAGGGAATTGTTACAAAGAAGCCGACAGCCAACACCTTCCATTACTGTGCGCTTTCAACAGACGATTCGATCCAACAGTTCGGTCTGTGTTCGACAGAGTTCGAAAAGACGACATTGGCAACATTCAGGTCGTTAAGACAACCAGTCGGGACTCTCCCCTGCCATCAGAAGGTTTTCTAAGGATTTCCGGGGGAATCTTCCATGACTGCTGCGTTCATGACGTAGACGTCATATGCTGGATGCTGGGTGAAGCTCCTCATACAGTCTTCTGTCTCGCCCATGCCTTCCATGCGCACATCGGAGCCATGAATGATGTAGATACAGTTGGAGTGGTCATGAAATTTCCAAGTGGCGCCATCGGTCAGATAGATCTGTCACGTCATGCTGTTTATGGCTATGATCAACGTGTTGAAGTATTTGGATCTGGTGGAATGCTCACCAGTGACAATCAAAGCAGTCTCTGTGCCACCTATTTTCACGCAAGTGGGAGCACACAGAATCCCATCAAAGTTTCCTTTCCACAACGATATTCCGAAGCTTATGAGTTAGAAATGAATCACTTTATCGACGTAATCAAACGCAAAGATGACTTGCTCATCTCCAAAGATGATGTACTACGTTCATTCACCGTCGTGGAAGCTATTGAGAAGTCTTTCCAGACCGGACAACCAGTCAGTTTATGAAAAGAGATGATTGATAAGAAATGAAATCTGAAATATGGCAATTACTGGTGGTTTTTGGCCATATATTCTGAAAATTTTAAGCGGTTAATTTTACTGATTTTCGTCTTTTCTAGTGGTGAAAAAATTTACTCATAACTTCTAAATGCAGATTTAGAAGAAGAAGAAGTAATTTAGAATTACATTTAACTATAAAACATTGCGATAAAATATTTCTTAAAAGCATTTTAAGATTGCCAAAAAACGACGTTTTCGTGCCCATTCTATGAACGATGAAGATATATCGGTCTTAATAATAAAGATGCAGATTATGTCAGGTAAGAGACCAGTATGTCTTCATTATTCATAGAATGGGTACGGATCTCATCAGCAAAGGCAAAGGCGTCAGTGATTGTTTCTCATATGATCTGTGCGATGCAGATTATGTCGGGTACGCAGCCTGATACCTTCATCAACACATTGCTGAGCACAAATATTCGGCAATTTCGTGGAAGCTCACTGTAGCAACCACCTCTTGAAAGAAAACCAATTTAGAGTTTTAAGAAAGTGCCAGGGAAATTCTTATTGTTAGTCTTTGAAATGCTGTTCATCAATAATCTCTTTAGCCTAATTTAAATATCCAGATGGACTCCATACGTGCCAAACTTTTTGTTTGATTACTATTGTTTTTTTCTTACAATTTAGCTTTTTATCATCCATCGGTATAGATAGCCTGCAGCAAACAAATATTTTTTCGACTTGATAATGACGTTTAGCCAACCTCGAAACGTCATTGTTTTTAGCAATCTTAAAATGTTTTTGAGAAATGTTTTATCACAATTTTTTGTAGTAAAATGCAGATTTGTTGGACATTGGATTAAATTTTGCAGAGAAGTGCTTATGTCAATGTCAGTGGCCGAAAATTAAAAGACGGAATCTTTAACAATTATACGTGCCCCGTTGGTTATGGTAATTTCATATTCGGTAAGCCTGAGTAGAATCATGAATTGTTGGAGTAAAAACAGAATAAACGATAAACACTCTGGTTACGCATCAGTTTATTAAGCCTCTCTACGCTCGTTTGGTGAGGATCATCGCTCTAGCGTGGCACGATATCCCCTCTATGAGACTCGAGCTTTATGGCTGTAGGGGAGGTGATTCAAAGGTTTATCATTTTCTATCTATTTTGGATGGAAGTATTGCTCCTTATACTTGAACGAGATGTTAATTCATTGAAGGGTTAGCTCACCCTTTTCAAACTTTTCCGGTCTTCATTTAACATCCTGCCCGTAAAGAGGGACTGTGAAGTACAATGTCCTGCCCTAGGACAAGCATTGACACTGCTGAGGCTAGAGCCCAGCCCTCTAGATTTAAAAATCTAGCGCGCCGACTACTGGTGCTAAGTTTCCCCCATCCCACTGAAGAACCTATTGAAAACGCTTAACTTTAAAAAAACATACAAACACATGAAGCTGACAGGCTTAAAAACCTCAAAACAAGCTCTCAAGTGGTTGTAGATGTGAGCAATTGGAAAGTGAGAGGAGATTTGGACAAAAGTCTGCGTATAAAGCACAATTTTAACAAATTCCGGCCTAAATTTAGCCGTTTGAAAACTTAAAATTTTTATGACGAAATTTACGGAGATACTATCAAAGATTTTTAAGAAATTATTTTGGTATAAGTTGTTATATACATTTTAGTCAATTGCAAGCTTGACCTCTTCACCGTGACTAGCAATGGCAAAAGAAAAATAGTTTATTCTGAGACGAAGAATAATAAAGTTGAATCGCTTACTTGCACTATATAAGAACCACATGCACAAACTTCTTACGATGCTGCTCAGATGAACAGCAGATCAAAAGTAACAAAACATGAACTCTGGCGTCTGACATAAACACCCACCCAAAAGAAAGTTGCCGGCTCAAAATACCGGTGTTTTACTGACACAGTTCTTACCATTTTTTTTTTATTAATTTTGTTTCGTGAATAGGTTTTGTTCCCCTTCTGAGCCCTGTTTGCATGGAAAGTCTCGAAATGGAAACCAGAAAAATTCCAGACTCCGATATTACTGCTCCTCAGAGTTTAAGGTCAGTTACGCGGCACATTTAGCAAGGTTGTAACGTTTTACTGTATCAAATGTATTGCGATTTAGCAATTTTTTTCAATCCATCGATGTTAGTAGCACTAGCAGAGTTGGTTATAACTATTCCCTTACCTAAAAACCGGGTAGTGAATAATCCAAGATTGGGTTAGACACCTTAAACCTGGGCAAGTCCTCTGCAATTTATATCAGATTATTTCCTATTTATGATATCTTGGGAAAATCTAGAGAAGAAAACCAAAGTCGGGAATTTGCCCTGATGGATTGCCCATATCCTCCCTCTCCTTCCCGTGCCCGCAGTGCAGCCGCGTTTTGGTCCAAAGCATCTAAACTAAACGCAAGGTAGTCCTTCAGACAGAGGCCTTCAGACTTAAAAGAAAGAGAAAAATCTTAGAAGATAGCTCTATCGGAAAAAGTAGGAGGAGGGGGGGGGCATATTGATCCTTGATTGTATACAGACGCTGTTTTTTATTTTTGGCTCCTAAGTTACCATCAGTAACACTTGTATCACACATATCTAACAGGTTTTTGATGGCAATTCAGACCTATACACCGTCAAAAGTCACGCGTTAAACCCACCAATAACAGCTCGTTACATCCGTGTTCATACGATTACATTGCGTAGCTACATTGCAATGAGGGTGGACTTCTACGGTTGTATTTCAGGTAAGAAGTGGTTCTGCCTTAGGTCATTCTCTGTTGGTGCATTGACAACTTATGAATCTCTCCATCCTACCTCAGTTTGCATTTAGATGTTCTCAAAAGGTCATCATTTGTTGTTGGCTTCTTTCCTGCAAGGAATTAATGCAACGGTTAGATCAGTTACCAGGTGAAACTCACAACTGACGCAGAACATAGAAGCTCATGCGAAGGTTATTACTTGCATCATGAAAAAAATGCGGATGTGATATCTAATTATCTTAATGTTTATTGGTCATGTGCATCTTAGTAACTTTGACTCGAAGTGAGTGAGTTGTGAACCTGTATGAAAAGATCCTCTTCCATTATAATGCTCATGACATCACTAACCTAAGCTTGGAGAAGGACTTGGACTGAGTCTGTTCACTGGGTATTCTATCGAATACAAAGTTGTTGGATTCAGAAATGAAAAAAAAGCTTTTGGCAAGGCTATCTATATTAAGTTTTCTTATTTGTAGCCCTTTCTAGTTATATTAATGTAGCCTCTCGGAAAGAACATCTTAATGGCCGTTTTCAGACTGCACATAGTGTGACGATCTAATTACAGAACATAAACACGAAAGTTCGGTTAAATCCAGTCTTTCTCTCTCCATTTGTTTTGACAATTTTGCTGTCTTTTTCCTAGACCCCCCAGTTCCAATTTCTGTATACCCTTTCAATGGCGAGTTTGGTACCAGAGGTTTTAGGTCCCCATCAAAATTCACCAGGCATTCCGTATAATTTACAACTCGCTCCAGGTCCCTTTGGGCAGCCAAGTGGCTCTATCCGGTTCTCTGGTACTCCCTTCAGCTACATCGAGTTCCCCAACAACGGAGGACTGGACACAAGGTTTTCCTTGACAATCTTACTGTGGGTGTTTCCAGAAAATGTCGACGGTCCCATGATCAATTACGGAACTAAATATTCTAGTGTTCACTTTTGGATTGATAATGGTGAAACTTGGGCCAGATTAATGGAAAGACCCGGAGGAGTTTCTGGAGTGGTACTACGAAATTCTTTGAACCATCATTCGTGGAATTTTATTGGATTTTCTTATGACTATGTGACAGGCGTTCAGAGAGTTTGGAACGACGGAAAAGTTCGTGATGCTGCAAACGTTGGTCAATTTGAGCTAAAAACTCAAGATGTCATTAGAATGGGAGTGAAAGATGGAGATCCAAGATTTCTTAAAGGGAGAATATCTTGCTTTCAAGTGTATGACAAGGCTTTGACTGAGAGAGAAGTACAAGCTGTTAGAGGACTCTGTTTTAGAAAAGGTTGGTGAACCATGTAGAAACTGTAAATTTATATAAAAAGATTATATGGTAATTACCAGATGCAGGAAATCCCCACCTAGACCTAAAAGCCTATCATATCAATGTGACAAGGATTATTCACTCTTTGATATTAAAAGTAAGTGCCCTTAACTTGAGATGTTCCTGAATTTCATTATTATATATAGTTTTTGCGGGTAATTTTGGAGATTCAGCGATGTTTGCATCGTAGGATGCTTTCAAAATCCTTTCTAGTGGGTAAGCCCTCTTTACTTGCTCAATTTCAAATATAAATAATACCTATGCATCGCCAAATATATGGATTTGTAAAATTCATTACGTATCTTTCCTTCTACGGCTTATCTTCGCGAACAAATGTTCTCAAATGCATTAGTGCGTTATGGAATCTTTTTTTTATCTATCAGTTCCATCGAATCCAGTGGCCTTTTTCCCGTTGAATGGACAATACGAGACAACAGACGCCAGTCACAGCCACAACCCTCCAAGGGAGGCTTCGAATGTTGAACTAGCCTCAGGGCCTGACGGTAACATGGTAGGTTCGTATCAGTTCTGGGGGAACTTAACCAGCTTCATACAATTCCCAAACTTTGGTGGACTGGACACGAGATACTCGATGACGCTTTTGGCTTGGATCTATCACGAACAGATAAAAGGTCCGATCTTAATCTACTTTTCACCTGGTTGCTATGTAAACTTCAATATACTTCAAACAGTTGAAAAAGATCTTTATCAAAAGAAGCACGTCCAGAAACAAAACGTCTGGACTTACAATTTCCTACATATATCTATTCATTATGTATATACAAAACTAGGTAACTACACAAATTCGAAAAGACATCTATTGAAAAAGCAACGTTTAAAGCGTTCGGTTCTGACTGGAGGCAGGATGTAATTATGTCCTCTTTTCCTGAGGCTCCTAGCTCTCTGAGCTGGTAAAAGTTCATGTAATGGATTTGCGCTGTCAGAGGTTATCTCGTCCCAAAGAAGCCTGTCTTTCATTCTAATTACATCCATTATGGGAGTGTATTTGCTAGTGTAGCCATAACGTAAAGCTCTCTTACAAAACTTGTCAATATGAGAGAGATATTTACTGTAGTGGGCAGAAGCCCACACCTCAATTGCGTAAATGAAAAGTGACATAATTAGACTGTCAAACAGCAGTGTAAGTTCTTGTAGTGAGAAGCCGTAGTATTTGCAGACTCTGATGATGTACAGTCTAGAACTTGCTTTGCTAAGCATGTTTTCAAATTGAACGCCCCAGTTACATGGATCTTCGTTTACAGTAACTCCAATTAATAGTTTACAGGATTTCTGGTCATTATTTTTAATTGAGATTACAAGTCATG